TTACATAATAAAAAACCTAGAATAAGTTATTTAGTTATTTTGTTGTGATTGTATAAATTATTCGTGGGTACTTGAAACTTCTAAAGTACACTATTATATATATATGATAGTATCAGGGTTTTTTGTCGATGTATTACGCGTTATAAGTACCTAATGGATATTGTGATATGATTAATTTGGAATTTATAAGTATATAATATGTCTTTTATGCTTCTTATACTGTCTAAGCTCAGAATCGTTTTTCTTATACAATGATATTATATCATTGAATTCAAATTTAATACCATCCATTATACAGTGACCCACTTGTAACCTATTGTAAAGTAGAGCACCTTTTTTAATTTGAATATACTGAACATTTTGATAATATTTATTGTATACAATAAAATCTAACGTATTTACGTATACCGTATACAATATACATACTCAAAAATAAACCTAAAACTTTGATTAAAACATACCTAATAGTAATTGGACATTGCACTGGATAATCAACGTTTTTATTAAATTATTAAAAGTAAATATTCTTATATCTTATGTTATCCGATAGCAACATTTTGAATCTTAAGTAGATGAGAAAGGAGCATATTTGAAATATGGTAGGTCTGATGTAGTTAGTTCTTCTTGTCTAGACATTTTTAGAAGAACCCCACACTTCCCGCCACCACGGATGGAAACCGGCTATTTCCGCCGCCGCCCCGTCGGAAAATTTTGAACTATTAATTACGCCAGTCGAGTCGGTTAATAATAAATAATAAATTTAGGGATGGGCCGATATTAAAACCTATACTCGATATTGGTGGTATCGGGTTTATCGGTATCGGTTTTTTTTTTAAACCGATATTTGAACCAATACCAAAAAAAAAACCAAATCTATCAGCATAATACTATATTGATTAAAAATTGTAATAGTTAAATATAAAATGATAATAGTATCGGTGATCTTTTAATATCGGTTCATTGTTTATGCTGAAAATGTTTGTTTTCAAATATATCGGGTATCGGTTTTTTATCGGTTGCATATATCGGATATCGGTAAAAAGAGGTATCGGCCCATCCCTCATAATATATTAGTATATTACGAAAAACCTCAAATATGCACTAAAAGCATGATGAAATTCAGTGGCGTAAATAGGCCATTGGAGGCCCGTGTGCAAAGACTAAAATGGGGCCTCCAAAAAAATAAAAAATAACCAGTGATAAAATATGATTTATCCTTATTAATGATTAGGTTATATTTATTGTTTACCCATTACTTACTTGTAAGCAACCTAGCAACATTTATATAAACATTTATAAATTAATCACATCTTGTAAATGTTTTTAGGTACCTAGGTATTTCTAAAATGTAGGTATATAAATATATATAAATTTTATAAATGTAGGTACATTTAATCATTTAAATACTATAAAAGTATGATACGTTTATAGAATAACATTAAATAAAAAACACAAAATATATTACTCATGTTGTAATGATCACCACAAAATAAAATCATTTTACATTTATCACTAGAAACACTTTTTAATTAGGTACTTATTAAATAGTAGGTATTAGGTAATATACAAATATTTAATAACGCATAATATTATATAACTAACATAATTTTATTTTATTTTATTTGAAATACTTTTGATCATAAAAAATTTGCGAAGTCGTTTATAATTTTGTTAATTTAAAGTTCTGAGGTTTTTTCTCTTTCAATATTGAGCAGTGCCGGCGCTAGGTATTGCGGGGCCCTGGTCATAGGTAATAGCCTTTAGGTTCTCAGAGAGTAGTGAAATTTTAGCTTTTATTTAAATCAGGATTTTAAAAAAAGTACTGTTTTTATATATAATATAGGTAAATAATTAAATTTAAATAATGCTCTGTCAATTCTTAATGAATCAAGATATATTAATGAAACAAAAATCAAATTAAAGCTTATTTTTATCTTTGTTATTCACTTGCCCCATATATAATTTTATGTAATACTAATAGCAAAAACAATCCGATTTTGCACTTGCCCCATGAAAAGGGTCAAGTGTGACGTTTTAAAATTAAAAAAAAAAAAATTATTCTTAGGTGAGTGATAATATAACTTTGTTGACTATAAATTCCAATTATGTATATCTAGAGGTGTTACATTATGGAACAATAACAATTTTAAGTTAAAAACAAAAAAAGTATTGTCAAATTCAAAATTAACTTTTCATTGTTGCGTCACACTTACCCCACTTTACCTTACCTACTTGTGTAAACGGAGACAACACATTCAAGTGCGATTCCTCCAGATGAAACCTCGCTCAGCACAGAATTATTGGCGTAGCGTGAGTTTCAATTAAACCTTTGAGTGGAAAATCGTAGGCTAATAAATTCATAAGAGCTGGTTATTTTATTAATTTACATTTAATTTAACAACTACATAAAATCATCAATTAAAAATAAATTAATTCATCAAAATGTTTGAATAAAATAATAAATTGTTTAATATCTAAGTACGCGACCGTTGCAGGCAGAATAATGCAATATACGACGGTAGACCACGGTATTCGTATTAAGATGATAATTAAAAATCACGGGGCCCTTTAACAAGCGCGGGGCCCTGGACAAATGTCCCATTTGTCCTCCCCTAGCGCCGGCACTGATATTGAGAATTGCAATGTTCGTCAGTCTGTCTTGTGAAATTGAGTTTCTAAGATAATTTTTTATGAGCTTAAGCTTAGAAAAAGAACGTTCAGCAGAAGCGACTGTAACTGGAATAGTCAGAAAAATTAAACACAGCGTAAAAACGTCATGAAAAGACGATGCCAAGTCATGTTCGATTAAATAAACTATTAGGTCTTTAATATCATGCAACACAGATGTTGAGTTTTTAACACAAAGAAAATTTCTTAAACACAAAAGTTGATTTGTAGTATCTGAACTTAACTCATTCTTATACTTTATGTGTAAATCGTAGGACGCTTTAATTATAATTTGTTCCTCTATTGTAGTAAGATTTATTGGTTTTAAAAAAGAAAACTCATCACTTATTGTTTTAATACCTTTAAACCTTTCTTTAAGGTAGTTTGAGCTCAAACAATGCCGTGTCCAGTGCGGGATAAAATACTTTAACTTTAAAACTGTCTTCAGTTATAGAAAGTCTTCGGTCACAATCAACTTCTTCGTGATACCTAACAGCAAATCTTTCACGTTTACGATTGAAGTTGAAAGGTATTTTCCATGAAACACAAAGATTTTTTGCATCTTCTACTATATTTTAGCCATTGAGTTATTAAGCCATTAGTTCCAGATATGAGATACGTTGTAGATAATATTTTTTTCCCAAATCGGGCCTCCAATAATATATTATTATTTATTAGAGTATAAACCATATACCAACATAAGGTCCGTATTTCCTACTATTTTTTTCGGGTATCAAAATAATATACATATTTTTGTGAAACTTTGAATCGAATGACGAATATAGAAATAACCAATGGGCAATAGTGTAGGTATTGTATGTTGGGCTGGGGCCCCCTTTGGTACCGAGGCCCGTGGCGTTTGCCCACCCGGTATTTACGCCACTGTGATGAATATAAAAATATGATCAATCAATAGTAAAAATCGGACCAATATACAAAATTAAATTGGTAAATTTGAATTCTTTAGGTGATGAAACAAATTTATATCTTACTTCGCATTGATTTAGATATTATAAAAAAATATGATAAAAACATCCGCTCCCTAATTATAAGAATAGGCATACCAATACGGGACACAGGCACCTATTTAAAGGTACCTAATAAAATAATAGGGGCGTTATATAGGTAAGCTTGAAGCTAATATGCAATAAGCAGATACCTTTAGGTGCCGTTACAGTTACATTTGTTTTCTCTGTCTTACAAGTGCGTAACATAGCAAATTTTACGCTCGGCAAAACACGTTTATTTCCCGTTAGTTTAAAAATTTGAGCGAATTGACCTCTTATAAAATGTCGTATAATGGGTCCTCAAACTACATTAATACAGGCTTAAGGTTTCCCTGTACACCCAGAAAATGTTAAAGACTCGATACAAAAGTTGTTAAAAGTTTTACAAATAAATAATCCATTCAGAAACAATCAGTCTAGAATAAATGGTTTAAGTTATTTGTAAATAGACACAAAAATATAGCAAAAATGCATACTGAGGTTATTTCAAAAGTTAGAGCAGCTGTAACAGAGCATTCAATTTTTAGTTTAGACATATTAAATGATAGCCACAGCCCACTAGGTAATTAAGTTTGATGAACCTGGTTTACAATTATGTCCAAAATCAGATAAATTATTGGAACAAAAAAAAAAAAATGGAAAACTTTTATGAAGTAGCAAATAAGTTTTTCCTATGTATATTATATTATTACCTATTATGATTTTATAGTTATTGTTTTATTTATTACAATTTTTTTTTTTAAATAACCTAATAACAGTGTTTAAAACTTCAATATACCTAAATCAAATCCATCTTAAAAGTATTTATTATATGTAGAAGTTTTAAAGAAGAATCAAACAATATTTCATTTGTATTTAGTACTTAAGTAGTCAAATTTAGGTATAGATAAACTTTGTAGTTTACACCGACAGTGGCTTTATAACGAGCCACTTCACATGACTTATTCAGAGAAAAGCAAGTTGGTTACATCAGGATATAAAACAACTAATCCATCAACATCTATAAATCACTGACAAAACTAATATTTTATAGATACCTATAGAATATAATCAAAATAGGACACAGAACACTTCCTTGATAAACTCTATATTCAATGATACTTTCTTGATCTGTTACATAATTTATTCTAATCGTTAGTTTCCTATTTAGTAGGTATGTAATTTTCAAACCAACTATAACCATAATTATCAATACTAAAACTAGGTAATAATTATAATAAAATATGAAGTCCAAAAACAAAATTTATTAAGTATAAATTTAAAGTTGAAGGTACCTATGTTAAGTCAAAAATTAATAAATTAAAAAAAAAAAAAAAAAAAAAAATACTATTGCCAAATGCGAATGACACCGGTGGACTTTCTATTACAAATTGGACATCGATTAGTACGTAGTTGGTCTGCGCAATCTGCGCACAATACTCTGTGTCCACAAGGTACAGATGCATGAGACCTAGCACCATCCCTGCACACAACACAAATTGTTTCTTCATTATGAAGATTCACTTGAAGAGTTTGATCAATTTGGACATAAGGAATATTATCTGGATATTCATCATTTCCGTATTCTTCCTGCCATCTAACTAACTCCAAATCTTCGGGAATAAAAAAATCCCTTTCATCCCCTAATAGAGTATATAAGTTACAGTATCAAAAATATGGAAAATAATTTTTTTCAGGTATCTTACATTCATGCACATCTTCTGGCTCAGGGTTTTCAGGAAGTACTATGTTTACAGGAAGCTCTGGTTGATGATCTGTTTTAACACAATTAAAAAAAAAAACATTTAATTATGTTCAAAATTTAATAAGTAGGTATACTTAAAAAAAAAAAAAAAACATTACCTTCTACTCTTACAGCTATTTCATCTTTATTCTCTTCTATTACACCTGTGTTCAAAACATGTATCATTTTTTTTTTATAAAAATTGGTTTCAATTTTATTACTAATTACTAATGGGTTACCTTGTTCTACATTTATGTGCCAGTTCATTTCTTCACGGATATAACGTTCTGCACTGTGTGAGCATTGTAGTAAAAATTCTTTTAATGTAATATGCCCAAGATCCAATTGTTGAGTAGATTTTAAAATTCTTCCAGAGTTTAGTAAATATTTAATTTTAACAGCACGAGATATTCTCTGTCCTAGTGCTAGTTGTCTTACAGTCACATGGTACTTGCTGCTCAAATTTTTCAAGTGTTCTATAAGAAATATAAAATTAGCTTTGATGAAAATATACCGGGGTATTTACCAGGGTACATCTATATTTAATAATAATTTACCAAATACACATATGATTTTATAAAATTAAAATATAGTGATAGTTAACTACCTAAAAACGTCCATAAATTAGGATGAAGGATTTGGAATTTTTCCTTCAATTGGGAATGAAAGCATTCAACATTGTTGTTGGTTCTTCTAGGTAAACCATAAACAGAAAAAACTTCAGGTCCTCTGTTCCGTAGCCAATAGCTTAAATTAAAGATAGTTGATTTCATAATATTACATTATTACATATTTAAAAAAAAATATATCCCCAAGGAATTTCACATACTTTGAATAATAGTTAAAAAATGTAGCAAATCTAACATTATTATCTATGGCATGGCGACGTATTAATTGAAAACCTTCGTCAATTTTGTTCACCGGCAATAATGCTAAAGCAGCGCACATTTTTAAACAGATCTGGGCTTGTACGTTATCCTTCACGTATTGTGCTAGACCCAGTCTTTTAACATTTTTTATTAATGCCTAGAAAATAGTAAATTTAAACATGAAAGTATACAATAATAGTTTTACAATCTTCGGTTATTCTCCGATTTAAGCTAACCAGCTGATAACAGATATTATTACGGGCAGAATTCCACCGATTAAGTGTCCATTAAATTTAATTGGAGATGATAATACTGGCCCTGGAGTACTAAACAATACATATTATATTTATTTGTATGAAGGAGGAGCCCTAATCTAGAAGAATGGAAAATACTGAAATACATAATATGTAAATATAAATGTTTACTCTTTTATTCCATTTCAATATATAAATTATAAGTTAAAAAGTAGGTAATCTGCTGTAAATTAAAAGTTGAATCTATATTGTTATTAAGTAGGTAATATAAATGGATGAAGTGTTAAATTTGAATTCAATAATAAATCATTGATACAATGAAAAACGTTTCTAAGCAAGACGGTCTAACTTTTTGGTAACCCATATTACCAAACAATTATTATATTTAATATTACAATTAAAATTATTTTAAAAAAAATATTTGTATTTTTTTTCCCGATTAATTTAAAAAGTGAAATGTTCAATAGTTGAACCTCCCAAAAGTACCAAATAGATTCAATTTGCAAGAAACCTCTTACAAAATATCATAACAGCATTTTCTGCCTGAAACAGCCTTCTGACACAGAAAAAAAAAATACATTGTAAAATCAATTCATTAATTGCTACTCTCAGAATCTAATAGTAATTATACACACATATATTTATATATCCAAATAAACATTATTTATCAAGTACCTACCTGGACATAGTGAAACCAGCAACCATGTGCAACAGTTTCAGGGTAAACAGTTAAAAATGCATTTTGCAAAGCTGTCTCAAAATCTGTCATCACACAATTAGGTATTATGGAAGGAAATAAAGCTTTACATTTTGTAAGCAATAAAGTGTATGCTGCTTCCGTCTTGGACTCCATCAATGCGTAGATTATGGGTATTGACTGAAATAATAATAAAATATTTTTATAATTAGGTATTCATATTTATTTCCCCTACATAAAGTTAAAATACAAATCAATTATAACTAAAACTCACATGATTTTGAACAATTATGTGCAGAATAAAAAGTTGTCGAGACTGTGGCGTGGCTGGTGTAACTTTAAAAGTTGCATCAGCATGAACTTCGTTTCCTCCTTGACTTACAACATCACTGATAAGTGATGTACATCCAAATATAATTGTTGTTTTACCATCATTATCTACAGTTCGATCTTGATAAAACGCTTGTTCACAACAAGTGTAACGCTCTGGGTTTTGATCAAGATAATCTGCCAATGCATTAATGCTGATTGGTAAAGCAGGCACAATTTTTTTTCGAGCATGACGCATTGAAGCTTCTGCTGTTGGCCAACAATAATGTTCTGCAGCTCGAATACATCTAAAATAGTAATTTGTACCTACTTCAGTATAGGTATACTATAGTATATAATATATGATTCCCAAAAATAATATATAAGTATATCCTTGTTAAGACAAATAAGTGATAATCCATCTGGGCCTAAGGAAGTTATAGAATTAAAATTGTTGAGTTCACATTAAAAATATCCAATATAATCCAATATAATTATGGTACAATCAGTTAAGCTTAGAGAACTTCCTTGAACCTTCAGACCAACTTAATTTGGAACACCCATTTCCAGACATGTAGCCTAGTAGCTTTTTTGGTTTAATAACTAAAAATAGTTTTTAATGCTTGTATACTTTTTATACACATAAGTTATAATTTATAATAATAATAATTATGACAACATTAAAGTAATTTGTATCTTACATTGGCAAGCAATTGTTTAGAGGATCAACCTCCTAAACCAATAAAGCTATACCTAATGGTATTATGCATTAGACAAGTGATCAAATAAAGAACATATTAGGTAATTTATATTTTAAACAACTCGAAATAATTTATTGTTGAAAATATTTTTTTTCAAACATATTATAATTAAAAAAATAACTTTTTAAATAATATTTGTAATACCTAAATTATCAACAGGTAACTTGACTATGTTTACATATTATAAAACAGTTTTATAAAAAAATTATACTTAAAAACTATTTAATAAATTATTTTATGAGACTCATCTCACTATTATCACTAGGTATTTAAAACTTGATAATTTATTCAAAATAATTGAGTAGAAATATCATTGATTATAAATACTATAGATTGATCACTGGTTTCGGTTTCGTGAGCAATTTATAGTATTTATAATCAATGGAACTATGTTTAAAGAACTCCATTTTATGGAATTTTTTGAATTGCCCTTTATAATATAGGTACTAGTGTATTTGGCAGTTACGGTATTGATTTGAGTTTAATTATATTAAAACAAAATTTTAGTGATTTTTTTAATGCATTTTATGTATTAATGAGGTTAAACTATCTATTTTAATGATTCTATTATTTTTGTTTAACAAGTAACTATTATTGAACTATGTAATGATTATTTATCGCAGCAATAATACATTTTTGAACTAAGGTAAATGAAAATGGGGTTACCTGATTGATTCCTCATCATATATAATTTTTAATTTCGTGGTTTCATTGACAGATCGTAGTATTAAGGTAGATCTAAACTGTTTTATTAGATCACCAATCTCATTTTCAGCGATGTTTGCCACGTGTGAATGCCCTATTTGGGCTTTGATTGTGCCATCAGATAAACGTTTTGCTGTACCTTTACAAAACTGATTACTGCATACCAAATAACTAACAATATAAACAAATAATAAACAATTATTAACAAATTACATTTTAAAATTCATAATATAAAAAAAGGTTAGTTGGAATTATAAATTTATGTTTGTTTCTGTACATTGAAGTAAGTTAAATTCAGTGTAATCCACATATTTAGTTGTTTTTAATTTGCAGCAAGACTTAAAATCTGGTGACTATGTACTAGTAAAATGTAAGCCTGTAGGTAAAAAAAAATGCTGTACATAATATTCTGATGAAGATCATATTGAATTTGTATTAGTTTTCATAATAATTTTGTTAAAAAATTGGTCATTTTATTTATATATTTGTTCAGATATTTAATATTGGATTAAAATTTTTTTATAAGTTATCAAAATGTTAAGTATAGGTAGATACTCATAAATAACTAGTTTGTTTTTATTTTCATAATTTGTTTTTGGAAAATAAAAGTTCCTGTTATATATGTATTAATAATTAATTTTTTAATAAAATAACAATTAATATTTTTACAGTGGCCATATAAGGGAAAAATGCAATTTTAAAATATTAATAAAAATGTCTCATACAATGTTCTTAAGACTTTGAAATTTAAGCCAATTATTATAGTGAACTTCTGAATTTATGGTTCAATTTTCAATATTTTTCAATGACCGTAGATAGAATAAATTAAATTAAAAAAAATTCTTAAGGGGTCGACTCCACCCTATGTTGTGTAATATATTATACAGTATTAAATAGCAGGCGCCTATATCATTTTAAATGCACCTACTAAAAAGTATTTAAAGGTTCAGTTTTTTGCATAATAAAAACACAAAATATTCAAATTTGAATTTAATTATATTAACAAAATATGCGTTTCTTAAATCAAAATATGCATGCAAACCTATGTTGAAAAAATCATAATATGGTACCTATTGTACCTAGTATAATCTATTTATTATATAATTATTGACTGGTGGATTTAAAAATTGTAAATATGTTGTACAGATTAGTGTATCGTAAGTGACTTAAAAAATAGTTCTTAAGCACCTAGATACATGTATTGATTTCTTTATTTAGAAAATTCAATAGTCAAAACTGAAATTGTTTTTATATTACATTTCAAATAATATCTAATAAGTAATAAGTAATAGGTAATCTAGTAAGTAGGTAGTAATATTAGTAAAATAAACTTACCGAACACCATTTTTAACACCGCCATTGTACTTATAACGAAAATCATCATGCTCTATTGGATTCATTGTGAAAATGAGTATTAAGACTTCAATTGATTGATGAATGTTATTTTAAATGCCACTTCAATAACTTACAAGTAAATACAAATAGGTATACAACTTACGAGTCTTACTAAGTTATAAAAAAGTTAAGAACAAGTTATAAACGAGTCAAGTACAAAATTGAAAATACTACACGACGTGTCTTCTGTCTTGCACTCTTGACGTTTATGATAATCGTGAATTTGTGTGTTATACTATTATTATTTATTCTTAACCTTAGTTTAATACCCCCCTTGTACTATTATTATAATATATTGTTCATGCATGTCTATTCATGTTCATCATAATAACAAAAATAAACAAAATATTGGAAATCATACTTTAAAAATAGATATGAATTACTTCGCGAAACACGGATATAGATACTATTTTTTTTTTTTGAATGGTTAATAATAATCTGATACAGATTACAGATAGATGATAGTAATATAGTATGATACATCAGTGGCGTGCTTAGGAATTTTGGATGGGGGGGGGGTAGTTCAATTTAGTGTTCTAAATCTAGTATAGCACCCACAATTTTTAAATTTGTTTGTCCGACATCTATGCATTAAACCAGTTAAGAACGACGGTGCTTACATTAATTGCCAGAAATAATTAGTTTTTATGGTGTAGTCTTATGGTGTAGCCTCCGTAAACGAAGTTCACGATTATCGGTGTTTTGCGCACATACGTACCTACAACGCTTAGATATAACGAAATTTAATTTTTTTTTTTTTTGAAACCTAGCTAAATAATGGTTTTAAAAATTTTTTTGGCAAAAATAATTTTGACACACCCATAGTGGTTTTATATAACAAGTCGAGGGATCATGGGCGTCCCCAGACATTTTTCTAGGGGGGGGGCAAAATTAATTTAAAAAATAAATGAAAATTTTTCTATACATTTTATTTATAGTAAATGCCACTAAATTATTATATTTCGTCATTATTAAAATTATGAATTAAAACATTACAATTAGGTAAGTATTATTATTACAATTAAAACATTAAAAAATATTATTATACATCATTCTTTTTCATTAAATATAAATTTCAATCTCCGTGGACATTCTCTACCAAATTGTGTCAGTGCATTTTCAATAAATTTTTCTTTATTTGAATTTACTTTTTCTCTATGAAGTATGAACACTCAACATGCATATTCCATTCAGTCTAACATCACCCATCGTTGATCGTAACCATGTTTTAACACGCCTTAATGTATTAAAAGAACGTTCTCCTGTACAGCTTGTAGCCGGAAGAGACAAAAATATTTCCAAAGCAACAGCTATATTAGGAAAAAACGTACTTACAGTTACAGTTTAACAAATTGATAAAATCAATATCTTGGCAGTCCTTATTTTGCCAAAAACTGTACCAACTTCCCGCTTCAGCTTGGAGATTATCAATTTTATAGAAATCAGCAATTTTTTCAATGCTTTCAAAATACATTTTTTTCTCCAATTTTTTAAAAATGTTGGGGTGAAGATATTGTAGTAAAAATGTATTATCATTTTTTATATCAAAACGTTCTTTTATATATTGTAAAATTGAATCAATATATGGTATAAAAATTGAAACTCGGTAATAATCTTCACAACTCTCAGTTTCATAGTTCGCTCTTAGTGACTGTTTCTTTACCGTTCTTGAATGTGTAATGACAATATCTAAATCAATGGCGATTGATTTCGCTTCGTTAAATAATGTTTGGAAAATGTTATCAGCGTCATATACTCATATCGAACAATATTAGTAATAAATTAATAATGCTCGCTGACTTTATCTATCTGACTTTATTAGATCTACTGAGAGTTGAGACGCCTTGTAACATATTTGTCACAGGTTCTAAAATAGCACTGTATTTTGCCATAATAATCATAGAAATTAATAATGATGAATTTGAGGCCGCAGAATATAAGTAATGAGCTCGTTGCCTTGTATTGGAATTTGAATGTACTTCATTATTTGATAATGATTTCAAACTTGTCATTATTGAAATAAAATGTTTTGAAAATACTCTTATACTCTTATATTTAGACGACCAGCGTGTTTCACAAAATAGTGGTAGGTATGTTAGGGATAAGTTTTCTTCTAAGCGTACTTTCACGGAAAAATCATGTAATATTTTTTATAGTTCCAGTAGTATTACGAATAATCATTATTTTATTTGAATCATTTATAACTAAATTTAACCTGTGATTAGAACAATGAAAAAATAACGCTTGACATAATATGTTATGGAAACTTAGTAGACCTATTTTTAGAAACTAATTTATCATTTGGAATTTTACCAATTTCTGTGGAAATAACATTATTCCAGGGGGGGACAAGTGCCCCGTCTTGTCCCCCCCTGGGGACGCCCTTGCGCGGGATGTTTAGAAGTTAATTGTCCGAGCGATCGCAAAGAGCGAGGGACCACACCAGATGTATATGAAAATACCAAAAATTTCAATTACCTAGCTATAACTTTAAACTAATTCTGTCCACCAAATTTAGACTTCCCTATCGTTTTCAGCATGCTTAACTACATAGGAACGTACTAAAACAAAATAAAATTGAAAAAGGTGCTCTGCTGTACAGTAGGTTACAAGTGGGTCACTGTATAATGGATGCTATTAAATTTGAATTCAATGATAAAATATCATTGTATAAGAAAAACGATTCTGAGGGGAGACGATATATCAGTCTAGGTATAAGACATATTATATTATATTTATCTATGGTATTAAAAAAATTGACCTATAATAAATTCCAAATTAATCATATCACAATATCCATTAGGTACTTATAACGCGTTATACATCAACAACAAACCAAGTTTTAAATAATATTATACAATCACAACAAAATAACTAAAATAGTTATTCTAGTTAATTTCGTCCAAATTTGAACTTAAAATGACTATAAAAATAAACTGTGCTTATATATGGTTTAGATTTTTTGGTAACTGAATACACTACTTACGTGGAATCTTTTTTTAAATTTTCAATCCTTAGATATAAAAAGGTGGGTAAGTGGATGTCGCTCTGCTGTACAGTAGGTTACAAGTGGGTCACTGTATAATGGATGCTATTAAATTTGAAAGTAAAATGTAATATCCATAAACAGCTCAAAAAGAGTCAAAATATTTTCAAAATTGTATGGTGTATAGGAAATTCTAATATGAACATTCAGTGAAATGTTCATGTAGGTATCTACAGTTATTCGTTTTTGAATTACAACAAAATAAGGAAATCGCTACATGAGAAATCGAGTGAATATCTAATGTTGTAAAAATTTGAATTTAAAACGGTCATAAAAATGTAATTTGACTTTCTTATAGACATTTGTTTTTTGATAAAGGTAGATAATATTATAAGGAATCTTGTATTACATTTTAAAACCTTAGATTTAAAAAGAAAAATTTTTACGAATTCTTAACTCAAAATAATTTGCTAGTTTTCTTGATTTTTCCATATTTTGTTAATTTTTGAACTTTAAATGCTTATAAAAAAAAAACTGTGACTAAGGATTTTTAATATTTTTCATCTGCCTTTGAAGAGACTTAAAATCAATACATTCATCGTTTCACTCAGAATCTAAAATTCGAGTGGACACTGAACTAGATTTTTTCCCAATAAATTATTATAATTATTATTAAGTACATAATATATTATTATATTTATAAAGTGTCCAAGGGAGGGGTTGAACCCCCCTTGTGATACATAATATTACATAATGATAAATAGGTACATCTAATCACGTAGTATAAAATACAAATGTATCAAGAAATTGCCTATACAGTACTCCTACTTCACTGATATTTCCCGGTTTTGAAATTCCTGGGTATTATTTTCCGGTATAAATATTTTCCTGATTTTTAAATTCCTATAAATTATTTTCCCGTTTTTTATTTTCCTGTGTTTTAAATTCCTACGAAATAATTTCCTGAATTATATTTTCCTGATTTATAATTTACCAGTAAAGTTTTTCAATTGTAATATTTTCCTGGTTATTATTTTCCAACAAATTATTTTTCCTGTTATTTATTTCCGTACATATATTTTCCTGATTTTTATTTTCCTACGAATTATTGTTCCCTCGTATTATTTTCCTATATTTTACTTTCCCGTTGTTGTCATTCCTGTAAATAACTTTCCTGGATTTTATAGCCCCTCCTTACAAGGATTAAAAAAAAGTTTAGAAAAAAAAAATGCGAAAATAAATTGTTAATGTTATGTACTTAGGTACTTACGATAGAGTATGGAAATATTGGATAGTATAAAACTATAATTATGATTTTTCATTAAACGATAGCCGATAGGTCATAATAATATAAGTATATAACCTATTATAGTTAGTACTTAGTACCCTAGTTTGTTGTAATTAAAAAAATATTGAAATTTTGGAAATTTTGAAACTCGAAGCATTTATTTTTTAATGAAATTATCACTTTCTACATATTCAATGAATTTTTCAGTAGGCATTTTTAAACATTTGTAAATTTAATTTTGAATTTATTTTTCCAAGTATTGAAAAAATATGATATATGTTCTGTCAAAAGCTTGAATTTGAGTAAAAGATCTATCATAAGTTGTTATTAAAGCAATAAAAATATCGTGTTTTAATAAAAAAAAAAAACGATTCTGAGCGAATTCTGTCAGCCTATAAATATAGGTTATATATAAAGTAAGTTATATTTAACCTATTTACGTGGAACATTATTTTAAATGTTCAATCTTTAGCTATAAGAGTTGAACATTTTATAAACTTTTAACTACTAAATAATTTGTAAATATTCAATATGATAAATTTCGTCAAAATTCGAACTTTAAATGCTTATAAAAAATTGAGTCTATGTATTTTTAATATTTTTTAACTGCTATTGTACCCGCAAATATAGGCCGAACAAATAAAATTTTATTGATATTTATAGAAAAAAAAACTAAAAAAATTGAAAATTGAAAATTGAAATTGCGTTACCTCATTTAAATATTTTACAAATCAAATAAGTAGGTAATAACTAATATTTTAGTTGGTTTATCGAAAATATTTGGCACTGAACGAAAAAATCGTGTCGAAAACAATCGTTTAAGAAATTGTCAATGAATTTACGATTTAATTTAGATTTACTACTTTGATTGTTTGATTGAATGCCAAGAATATGTTACAACTTACAAGTATAAATCCTTAAATTGATTTTAATTTTATAAATTGTAAATCATAATATTGGTAAAATATATCCGTATAGTAGTGTAAGTACCGTTATTTCATTATCGCAGTAGGATCACATTATGACACATACTGTCATACCTACCTAGGTCATTTATTAACAAGTTCCTTTTCCACATCACATAACTAATTTGGCTTTTGTTTTGTAATTTAAATTGATTTATAAATCCCTCTCTTAAAATCAAAAAAATTTGGCAAGTGTGAATCTCAATGTCTATACTTCACACACCCATTTATCGAGCATATTATATTAATTAAACAAGTGTGAACCATGTCAAGTGGATCTGGAAAAAAATACACTGATACGTTCATGTACTATTATGTAATATTATTTAACCCCTAGCTTGCGGAATAATTCTAGTTCCGCATTACGTATATACTAAGTTATATCTGTTTATGTAGGTACCTATTTACTACAATAGTAAATATGTACAACATTTTTAGGCTCCGAATTTAAGCGTATTGAGAAATTTTCGAGAGCTCAAGGTGAGTTGAAATTGACATGGTAAACATCTGTGTTGCTTAATATAGAACACTTATCAAAAATAGAAATGGTAAGAGAAAATATATCGAGAAAAGGTTTGACAGACTCTTAGTTCGTGTTTTGGCATGCACCATGGCACATCTAGAGTCAGGTCATTCATACGTCTCGGTCGAGTTTGAAATATTCGGAAAAGTACAAGGTAAATTGTTTTTCTCATATTTTTAATTAATTCACATAAAATATAGAAATCTCACAATTTACATTTAACGACACAAGATACACTGCAAACATGATTCTAATATATTATTTTAAAAATCAATTTGTTTTGAATTATTTCGTCTTATTAAAAGTGCAATCTGACAAATTATTACAAATTAATTCTATAATTTAAATAGCTAAAAAAAATTGGGTAATTATTCATTTAATAAAATATCCCGCGAATATAAAATTGTTTGAATAAATTATTTTATTAATCACTGAGTCTGTAACTTTTACTCATCCATTAAAAAATTACCAGTTTGGCTTAAATATATTTTTTAATTGTATTAATAGTTTATACTTTTTATAGGTAGGTAGTTAGGTAGGTTATAACAAGTAATAACAATAACAATATACATGTTGCAACTTGTAAAATGAGTATACACTTTAGGTACTTATTATAACTTATCAGCAGGTAGATAATAAAATCAACAATATAATACATTATTCATTACAATAATACCACATCGAAATTGTTTACCGTTAACGTTAAATTATTTTAGTTTCCAAATTTCCACCATCAGCAAAACTGTGCAATGTTCACATTTTTAAATAATATTTGATTCATATTAAAGCAACCGAGAATAGTTACTAAAACTAAATAAAAATTCAATGATTTTCTTTATCTATTGTAATTTGGCCAGTACCTACTTAACTGAATATTGGTTCAAGAGTTCAAGACCGATAGTCAGGGATTCTTTTGTCCACATTCCTGTATTTGTCAATTACGTAATTTTATGGTCTTGTTTTTTTTTTTTGGAAACTATTATTTAGTACTCCAATACTTTAATAACGCCCATTTATGAAAAAGTAATAAATAATAATAGGTACCTTTACTTTACGAATTTAGAAACCGAAATTCTAAACATTTTTATAAAATTGGGAGAAAAAAACTAAATTGAATACTATAGGTAAAATATAGTTGTTTAGTTTAAAATCATATTTTATATTATGTACCTACATAATATAACATATTATTATATTGGTGTTCTATTGTGATGTTATTTTAAGAGGACGTCGACGCGTCGTACCCGCATGTGTTGTCTCTGTCTTACACACGTTCGACATACCAAATGTTCGTTCACCAGTTTCAATAGTATGTTCATAGTGTGATGTTAGTTTTGATATTAGAGTGAATTGACCTATTATAAAATGTAAAGGTAAGATTATTATCTAGGGCACAAACTACGAAGTAGCCTTTTATTGATAATATTTTTAAGTAAGTTATGACCTTTTTGAAACTGTACATTTTAAAATTATCATAACTTAATTAAAAATAATAATATTAGTAAAAGCCTATGCCTTGCACTATAATATTATAATAATCTTACCTTTAAATTGTAAATGGATCTGATGGATTAAAATGGTGAACGAAAATTTGCTACGTAGTAATTACGCGTGTAAGACGGAGACAACACATGCGGGTACGACGTCCTGGAATATTAAGTTGTAGTTAGTTATCTACTGTCAAATGTATGAGAAAACAAGAAACAAATAAGCTGCTTTTTACAAACAATTTAAAGTAAAATTTCTTTGCTCAATATAACTAATGATTTTTCGAATGAAATGATGAATTAAAATTCCTTTAAAATGTATAACTATGACCGAATAACCTAACTTTTCACAATTGCATAGGTACCTACTTCACAATAAGTTATAAAATAGAACAAAATCCCCCCCAAAAAAATTATGTCCGTCCTTCTTGTACTTTGAAAACTTTTAAATGTAAAAGAAAAATTATTTTAATTTATACATTTAAATTTCAAGAAATTGTCTACAAAATGTATTAAAAACTACAAATCTAAGAAAAAGTATAATTAGGTCCTACCTACTAAAATAAATTTGAAACTGACAATGAATATAAGAAACTAGAGTCTAGAACAATATAAAAGAAAAAAATATTATTTATACTTATTATATTCTTGAGATTATAAATAAACGTTATTACTATAAAATTAACTAACTGAAAGTCTAAGAAATATAAAAAAGCAACAATGTTTTTATTAGTTGGCACATGATAATAGTTTTATATATATATAGGTACTATTGCCAAACATCATTAGTGTAAGTATGCATTATTAAATATTTTAACTTAAGTTTGGAAAACTGAAATGATTTATATGCTGTGAAATTGATACTTTTATATCATTTCAATGTCATTAATATAATCAAAATTATATGGTTAACTTTCTACATAATAGAAAATTACTCTAAGTGTTATTTTATATAAACTATATTCTATTTTTAATTAAACTTATCTATATAAATTAAAAATTAAATGCTATTCATTGGTAATATCATCACATGAACAGTTTTCAATAAAAGTTATATCAATAGAATCCTCGAAACTTGGAGGGTGTTATTTTATTATTTTTTCAACCCCCTTAGGTTGCAAAGGGTAGTTTAAACATTTTTTTTCAGTTCAAGAAAAAATAATTATTTTGTTTATCTAAATGGTGGCCATTGATTACATGTTATATTACTATTATAATTAGTAGAAATATACATTGTTTTACACATTTTTAGTATGGGCAATGTCCTAGGGGGGAAATTCTCAATAAAGATAATAATAATAATAATTCTGAAGTGGCTTGGTGTGGTGCGTTGGCTGCTACCAGTCACGGAATGCGGCTGAGAGTAAGTAACGCTCGCTGCTACTAACTCCCGGATGGGTGAACACCTGGGTCGTAGTAACAAAAACCTTGGCACACATACACATACCTACCTTAACAACCCCTTACCATACCAACCTTACCAACTATAGTTCATAATCCCTAAAATAGATAATGGCTATAGTCGCCAAGCTTAAGTTCAATAATAATAAAAAAAAATTATTATTAAAAATGGATGTTTCATTTAAATGAAAATATATACTTTCATAAGCAATTTAATTTTGAATATTCTTAAGATACTTATTACTTAATTTATAATAAATAAATTATTATGTAGAATTTCTAATGATTAAAACTATATTTATTTTTATCATTTAGGAGTGTACTTTACCAAATATTGCAGAGATCGAAGCACTGAACTTGATATTGTCGGATGGGTAAAAAACAGTAAAAGAGGCACTATAATGGGCAAAATGCAAGGACCAAAAGCAAATGTTGAAGGAATGTGAGTTATACAATCGTGACTTGTTGTATATAATACAAATAAAATATTAATTGTATTACTTTGACATGCATACTAACACTGGGCACATGTAATAACACATTAACACACCTACTGGACAGTGCCTAAAATATTACTTTTTTAAAAAATTATAATTAATTAGGTAACTGTAGATAAATTAAAATACAAAAAGTTTAACTGACAATTGTATACATTAAAAATCTACCCCATTAAATTCAGAATTATGTAGAAGGTTGAGAGTTAGACTTCAACTCGAAAATTAAAATTATGAAATTAGTTAACGTATAATAATGAAATTGACAAACCACTCTGCTGTAGTGCTGTATAGAAGGTTTTGTGTGTATCATCATATTTCAACTATGGTTTCATCAAGTAGCTGATTACTGTAATAGATATATTAAATTTGAATTTAAAAGGATGTCTGCGCACTATTGGTTTTCTCTCTCTGCCCCACGCGCAACAGAGACAAAACCCATTTACGCAGAATCATTTTTTCTATGTTTTTAAGTAATCTTAAGAGTAAAATTCCCCATTAGTAGAAAGTAAATATTTAAGAAGTAGAAATTAATTATTTTAAATGTACTAAATAATATGTCCATACACCAGATTCCAGAATTAGTGCAAGTTTTTGTTGAGTATTTTTTTGTACGGCGTTTCAACCCACATTAGGTTCATTTTTCTGTTCACATTAAACAACCTTCCCTCCTGCATGAAAAGTTTGGAGTTTTATTATAGATTATATACCATTAGTTTTATAATATACTTTATTAAAATGATATGTTCACAATACTGTGGTGTTGTTTTGGAGATATGCAGTTTTTGCTATTCAAATATTACACAATATTAATATATTATGGTAATGGTATTATTGGTATCAATGACTGTGGTATAGTGACATCACAGGAGATAATATTATGTAAGCAAACTATTATTTTTAATAAAATTGAGGTTTTTGACAGAAATTATGCATGCTCTCAATATAAATAAATATGAAAATTCCAACTAATTCTTAAGTAGGCATAACTAAGTTAAATCAGCAAACTTATGAAACTTATATCATTTAGAAAAGTTTATACACACAATAATACAATATACTTAATATTTTATTACAGGATCGCATGGTTGTCAAACGAAGGAAGTCCCGGAAGTAAAATTGAGCGGTGTGATCTAATGAACTTTGAATATTTGGCAAGGAAAGAGTTCAATGGATTTAGCATAAGATTTTAAATATCTTTAAAAAGTAATATTTTATTAATGCTGGTATTGTAAAATACAGGAAAGATATAAAACACTAAAATATTGGTGTAAAAAAAAGACATGCATATATTGTTAAAATTTTTATACATTATTTATTATTTTTAAAAATCGATACTAGCTCGAAAGGCAAATACATAATACATAATATTTTATAATGTAAATCAAATTGCTTAAATATTATAATGTATTAGAAAAATGAATAAAGTAAACTATTGGTATAACAAACTATTTAAAATAATATGTAATAAGTATTGTAAATACACATCTTAAACTCTAAGAATTTTGCAAATAAAAAAATATTTACAGATTTTTAATTTTGCTTTATTATACTATATTCATACACACTATATGTAATTCTAAGCAACCATTTTTTTTAGAACTATGTTCTATAAACTTGTCTTTGAAGTAAAAGAACACAAAGAAAACAGATAGTTAAATGATATAATATATTATATATATATATAAAAAAAAAAGACTTTTAAATTATAAAGTTTATTAATGGCAAAACAATATTTACTATACAATATTTGTTTTCAAATAGTCTCAATAATTTTTATTTTTACATATGTTTGGAAGGTGACCCAGAATCGTTGTTTATATCTGCGTAAAAAAAAAAATCATACAAAAAAATGTATACATTTTAAAACAGGTTACATTAACAATATCCTTTTTATTTGAGATCTATTTGGTTTATATTAATGAAGAAATCTACAAAATATAATTCACAATAGTTCTACTATGTAAAAATTATGAAAAGTGTTCATGTTAAATGTTTACTTTAGACTATGAAACAAGAACATTATATTATCTTAAATATAACTAATTATTATTAACACATACAAATTAATGAATAAATTCATTAAGAAAATAATTATTATCTATTAATAATGCATTTTTGGATATGATATTATAATATTATAATGGTTAATAATTAATCTATATTCTATAGGTAATAATTAATAGTTGATAATCACAATATATTTAGTAAAATAACATTATATTAAATAAGTTTATATCAGTAATTAATAACTAAATACTTATCATAATATGTCATATACAAATATTGTTTACTATGAATCATTGTTAACTATAAAAAATAGTTTAATTATAATTTATATAACAGTAAATTCTGTATTTATCATGATCTTTAAGAATAGACCTGAATGTTGCATAATATATCATGAATTGAACTAAAGAAGATATTATATTTTGGATACTGTAGCAAGAGGTTTTATTTGAGTAGTTATTAGAGCATTGGATAAACCTTAACTTCTAAAAAAGTTTTGAAACTGACCATTAATTCGACTGAACAGAACAAAATTATCCATGTTAGATCAATATCAACTTTAATGAGTAAATCCCTAATAATGGTTGCCACTTGCCAGTTAGTCAATTTATAAATATATGTTTTATGACATTTTCTCTTCTGCCTTATTGGGATATTATGCTCTCATAAATTATACAATGTGTAATCTATCATAACCAGGGCTTGGTTTTAATCGCAAATGCATATTTTCTAGAATATTCCGAAAAATAGCTGTTAGTTTAATTTTTATGTTTTCAAGTTAATTTCAAATGAATTCTGAAATTTTGATCATTAAATGACTGAAAAAATATAATAGTAAATTATTTTTAAGTAAACCGCCTTAACACCAATATTGGAAAATTATGGTTTTACACTATCTGATCTACAATTATATTATCAATAATATATAAATATAATATTTTTATTTGGTGTGAAACAATATAAAAACAATTTTTTTAATTAATTTTTGAAGTAAAAAATAATTATTACAAACGATAAACTTTTATTTTTTCAGAGCATAATTTTACTGTATATTATATTATATTATCATTGATTATAAATACTAGTGGTAATAATATTACTATTTTTTTAATATATTATATTATACTATACATTTTAATATTTATTAGTGGTTCATAATCCTAGCCATGATTATAACAAAAGACTTTTGTCATTATTGAACAATTTTAAATTAATATTTGAACTTAAAACAGAATTAATGAAGTATGAACTTTAAATTAAAAAGCTTCATTTATTCAGTCAATTATATACAAAAAATATTATTTTTTTATTCAGTTAAATTAATTTAATTTTAAGTTTATTATATATCATCAAGTAAATTAAAAAAAAATAGGATGTAAAATAAAATATAAAGTTTAAATAGGTATAAGACATCCAGGTCATGTGATTTGTTTAATCATAAAACTACAAATATCTTGAATTAATTTGTCTACGTTTTATCCTAAGTGATTCATGGAATCATTTACAATTTTTATTAATAACAGATTAAATTATTAATTTATTTTTTAACAGGTTTATACTTTTTTAAATTTGATTTTTTTTTTTTAATTTCATAATCTCAGGCAAAATATTTTATATGAAAATAGTATTATATAAATAGTAAATTAATAGAAAACGAGTTTTTTAAATTAGGTTTTTTTAAAACTTTAGACATGACACCTGTACTTGTTAGCTTTGTCTTACAAACCTAGCAGCATTTGGCAGAAACAATTTTGTGGTCATTTCAATAAAAAAATCAGTAAAACACCTATTATCAAGATTAAAGTTAAAAACATTATCTGTGTTTGTATATTGGTATAATATTTTAATTATTAAGTGGGTTATGACTTATGACTTAAGAGTAGAGACCGGTTTTCATCGGGCCACAATCAGGCAACACTCGTTTGTCACCCCTACCCAGTCAATTATCTGTATACCTGTAGTTTAGTATTTCCACATTCCATAAGTCGGCCAATGACTAAGTTTCTTTACTTGAACAGAGTATAGAGACTCGGACTCGAGTTTAGCGTGGTCTTGTTGAGCGTCTGGTCTCTGAGACGAGTCAAAACGGGAGGAGCGAGCTTGGCCCGGTATGACTGTTAGAATAGTTTTTTAAAGATTAGGATTAATTTAACTATTTTATAATTTTTATAAACTGTTACTTTTATTTGTTTTTCCAGTCTTCAGTAAATTTTTATGAAAAACCATATTTTTCCAAAAAAGAATATTTTAAGCGCATATAAAACTGGTCTCTACTTATGAGCATTTCTATAATGCAATATTTTATACACTATATAAATTGCATTTAAATATCAACAAAAAAGTCAACGAATAAGCACAGATAATGTTCTTAACTTTATTTGTTTATACTTAATTACGGTACGATCTCAATTACATAATATATTAAGTTTAAATACATAAAGCATACTTTAAGTTTGATAATAGGTCAATTCATTTCAATGTTAAAACTAACAACACATATAATTAGGTTCAGAACACAAATTAGCTATGTTTTAAGTAAAGACATGCGGCTAAACCAACGTCTTAAGGGGAATTGTTTATCAAAAAGTCAAGGTATATTCTCTATTACTCTACTTCATTTACCTAAACTTTTATAAATAAATAATTTTATTTATAGATAATAAATCATGATTCAATATTTAATAATTTATAAATTTCTGAAAAGTATTCTTTTTCTGAACACAAAACTATAAATGTACACTTATTTTAAAATCACTTTATATTATCTATAGACTATAATACTGAATAGTAAAACTATGTGCATTAAAATTTAAGTAAAAAATGTTTAAATAATTAAAATATTCATAAATATTATTTGATCAATGATAAGAGAATCACCCTGTATATATCATTGACTAGTTTAATAGTTAATTTTAACAAATTAAACTAATTTTAATTACGAAGTAAATCATCAATGTAAAACTTACCACTTTTATTAGATTTTTGTTTACGGTATTTAGCAGCAGGACCCCAAATACGAACAGTACAATCATCAGAAACCGATGCAAGCATTTGATGATAAACAGGGTTCCAACTAACACATGTAACTGCTCTTGTATGACCACTTAATGTTGCTATTGGTAGTTCATGCTTAATATGCCACAAATATACTTTATTATCTAAAATAAAATATTTTTATCACATAGGTACAAATTTTATTTTATGACAGTATCAAACCTTCACTTCCACTAGCAATAAAATCATGATTGACACCGCCAAAACAACTATGTATTGAAAAATGGCCCTGTGTAACTCCTTGAAATTTTCTTACTAAACACTTATCTTGGAGATCCCATAAATGAACACCTTGTGATACAACATTTAGGAGTGCAAGACGATCAGTTTTATTAACTGTGAATGACATTATAGGATGATCTTCTTGTATTCTATTTAAACATTATAAACATGATCCATATATAGAAAGACATACAAAATGTATTTTTTGCTTTGCTTACAAATTTTGATCACTGAGCTCATCAAAATTGTATGAACGAATTCGTTGACGTGTGTCTGCTGCCAACACTGTTTTTCCATCCGATCGACACCAAAGACAATTTACACGAACACCTTCCCATGAATCTAATACAGACCCATCTAAATCCTACAATTTATTTATAATTTAATTCAAATTATTTTGAAAGCCTATATGTATGTAAGTTGATTATTTGTCTATGTATATTTACACATTGATAAAATTGTCCTCGGATTCCCCCACAGACAAATTTTTGGCCATCTTTATGCCAAGAACAGGCAGTTAATGAGTCGTCTGATGAATGTGAGAGTTTTAACCTCAAAACACCAGTGCTAACATTCCACACCCATAAGTCGGGACAGTCTTCTGGCCCACAAGCCATGAGGAGTTCGCCATCTGGAGACCATGAAAGGTAACTAACACCATATGAGTGGCCATCTAAAGTGATCGATTGTTCTACAGTTAATGTTTCCTGTAAATAATAATATTGTAAAGACGTAACAAGAAAGAAATGATTTTTAATTAAACACACTGGATCAACGTCATATATTATAATGGATGCATCTTTTGAGCCAGTTGCTAATTTTTTTCCATTAGGCGAGAACCGACAGAACCATACTTCATCACAATGTTCAGTCAGTATTTGGACGGTTTCACATGGAATTTGTTCTCTGCAATAAGAACAATTTCTTTTTTTTACACAAATACATATTATAATATTATTTTAAAATACGATTTACTTACAATGAACACTTATGGTCAGTAAGTAAGGAAACAGTTTCAATGGAATCATCAAATGTTGTATTATGGAATAAACATTGATTTCTTTGCAGTTCTACTGCTTGAGTCAATAACATATGTAACCTAAAATAAGTGTAAAATAATTTAATTAAATATAAAAAAAAAATTAGTAGATAATAAAATATTTAATATGTATATTGTATATTATTATGGTCAGTGGTGAAGTTGATGGTACACCTCCTAATTTTATATTTATGCGTGTACCCTTAACAAAAATTGTGGTAAGCAGGTTAGGCGCACAACATTTTTTTCAATGATTAAGGTTCATAAATTACCATACATTTTTTTTAAGGACTACATACTACATAATATATAATTTATTTGTTTTTAATGTAATAACAGAATATTTATTGGTAAAAAATAAATAATTTTACAAAACATATTTATAACTCATTAACCTAACATAATAATACTGAAGCATCTTTAAAAAACAAAAACTATTAAAACTTTATATTATTATATTATATAATATATAGCCCTCCCACTTTAAAATGTTTCACTAAAATATTACAAAAAAAGAACTTTTGTTTTTGTTTAATGTATACTTGTATAATAATATCTACAGTAGGAATAGTGCATTCATAACTCAGGAATCATGAGATACAATGAGACATTATTTAACCTTATTTAAATTAGAAAAAATAATAATAAAATTTAATTTTAGAATGACAAGCTCGACAATATGTATTAGTTTAAGCCATTATTTTGAAAATTTACTAAAAAAAAGCATACTCAGAATACATTTTATGCTGATATACACAATCATAGAATATACCTAATATTAAAACAAATAATTATGTACCTTTTGGGTGGTAGCATAATATGTGGGGGCAAAAATTGTTGAATCATATCCATGAGTAAAGTTCTAGATTTATGTCCTTTTCCCTCCCAATTTGCTCGTTTCATTAATTCATCTCGTCCACTACACATCATATAGCTAAAACAATAAGATCAGATAATTAAGAATACATAATAAATAAAACAAAATAATAAATTATACAAAGAATGATCCAATTGTAACTTTAAAATAATCCAAACCTGCTAAGAATATGAACTTTGTCAATATTGTGTTGCAAAGGTGTCAACTCATTACGCAACACATGCAATGCATCCAAAACTTTACCATCTTCTAAATATTCCAAGTACTTTTGTTCACATATCAAAAATTTCATGTCCTTAAAAAAATGTAGGAATATTATTAAAATTAATAGCTTTAGGCAATATAGTTTTTGAGATATACCTATTATTTTAAAAACAACAAAATATTATAAATATAAATATACAATTATTATTTTATGCATAAGTAATGTTCATAATGATGATAATATAAAATTAAATCATTTTACATAAGTAAAATTAGAATTAAATTACTAAAATATAATCTATACTCGGGCCGTCGTAAGAGAGCTTCTGGGCGGCGACCAAAATTTGTCTGTTCTCGAGCATTCCCGTGTATTTAAGGCGGCAACTAGGTGGTAGAGTGGGAGAAATACCGCGGAGTTCAATCAGTTGAATGTGCAAAGGAGTAACAGTCTTAGAGTGGCCCGACTATAGATGATTTTAAAGATTCTAGGGCGTTAAATTATAATCAAGAACTGAAGAACAGCTGGTAAGAAGGAACAGTTAAATATTATCATAACAAAGATGATCGATTTAGTCGAAAATATAATATGAGTTGTGCTAATTACAAGAAGTAATATTCCAGATTTGGTGGCATGGAGTATGATATTTAATTGAGTTTTGTATTGCGTATATTAACTTAGGACGGTCACCAAACCTGGCATAAAGAATATTTTTAAAAAATGTATGAGAATATAAAATAAATAATCTAAACAAGTTATATATTATAATATATATAAATATAAATCATTATTTGAATATATATTTATTGGACATATCAAGGTATATAATTCTATTTTCTTTGAATTAAAAACGTATGCTGAATTCATTACAAAAATAAATAATATAAATACTCACTGAAAAATATTGGCATGAATTCCCTACTAAAGCTTGAAGTTCGTTCAAATCTGCACTAACCTAAAATGTTATAATTATTTTCAGTATAGACATAATATTAACTTAATTCAAATAAAAGTAGTATCAATTAATGTTTTATAATTTAACTGATAAGATTATCTCATTTCATTTGGTTTTTTATTTGAAGTAATATTAACAATATTAATAATAAAATATATAAAATATTACCTAATATATTTTCTATAGCATTATGTATAAATAGTAAATAAAACAGTTTTAAATTAAAGTACTTGTATTGGATAATAATTAATATTAATACATACCTTGTGCCATTCACCGTCCATTACATGATGGCGAAATTGAGTGGCAGCAGGATGTTCTAAACGACACCCAGATTCTTGCATTAACACTTCTGCAGTTTGACTAAAATCAAAATTTAAATAAGAGTAAGTGGGTGTTGCTTAAATTGTTAACGATAAAATTGTTAATTGTTATTCAACTGCTATTGTAATAATATATCAGGGAGCCTTGTATTAATTTTTCATGCTTTTTGACCCAACAAATACAATTTTATTGACAAAATAGAAAATGTCTGTAAAGAGCTCAAAACGAGTCAAAATATTTTGAAAATTTTATCAAGTATAAGAGTTGATAAAATAAACACATGGAATACATTTCAAGTATCTACAGTTGTTAGTTTTTGAATTACAACAAAATAAGAAAATCGCTACATGAGAAATCGAGTGAATATCTAATATCGTAAAAATTTAAACGTTTTGTTTTTCCATGCGCTTTTGAAAACTACTGAGAATTTTAAATGTTGACCTCCCCAACGCACCAACTAGATTCACTGTCCCATTGAACAAGATACTGAAGTTGGAAATTGAAGTATTATTTTGACTACTTATAGTGTACACACAAAAAAAAAACAACAAATAACTGTAAAATTAATAAGTGCATTCATTGTTCTACTCAGAATCTAAAATTGAAAAATAGCTAGATTAACTTATTTTTATATTTATTTGATGTATTACTTATTATCAAATTGCAGTCTTGTTAATTATTTGAATATCAGTATTTAAATACTTTTGACAAGTGTATTTTAAACCTTTTTTTCTTTTTACCGTCATATATCAACAAACAATACTTTTTATTTTTTAAAAATATTTATTAATAATTATAAGTATACATTTGTGATAATCCAAATTTTATATAAAATGCAAATGACACAAATGATTTAAATACGTATTCTGAATACATTTGAAAAGTATTCTTAACAAGACTGTCAAATTTTAATTAATTTATATTGTACTGGCCACCAGCAAAAACCCTACAACCATCAGTTAAGAAATCAAACCATAGTAAGCCTTATATAACTTGGTTCAACAAGTGGAAAATCACAAGTCATTGAAATTAAATCCTTACCTTCTAACTTTGAACACAAGATTGTCGGTGTTCAAATTATAAATTAAATATTACTTAGATCTTATGATATACATAAAGTCAGAATACTTATCTAGGGTATTACCTCAAGGATTAACATGGATATATAAAGAATAGCCTGAGTTGCCAAATGTTATTTAATAAAATACAATTTATTACATCTAAAACTATAGTTATACCCCTACAAAAGAAAGAAGACAAGATGAACTGATAACTATCTCTACTGAACATGGCATATTAAGTATGTATTACATATCTAAAATACTTATAGGATGACAAGAGACATTGGCAATGGAGAATGTGGTAGAGGATTACCAGTGTGGGTTCAGGAAAAGTAACTCAACAATTGACAAACTCGGAATTATTGAGCAACTAATAAATAAAGTAATCAGAAGTTCAAATCAAATGTGTGGTAATTATTTGTGGAAAAATATGTATTATAATTATTCACTGTGATAGTTTCTGCAACATAATGTACAAGTTTGGATTACCTAAACATTTATATCACTGACAAAAAAGTGTATGAAAGAAACAAGACATCAAGTTAGTGTGGACAAATTACAAACAATATCAGAGAACAGTGGCGACACTAGAATTTTAGTACCAGGAGGGCCAGATTTTTTTAGGTGAGGCCAAAATGTTTATTTGATATAATATATAAAAACAATTGGCAATAAAAAGCGATAAGCTGTAACTGGCATGCTGTGTATCATCTATATGTTATTTTACCAGTGGCTCGATAGTCGATACAGATCAATAAGGTGAAGCACTTATACTGTTCTTATGTAGCAATTATTAATAATGATAATTGTGTTTATTGCATTCTAATTAATAAATGCATCATAATATACAAAGGAATACTAATATTATTAAACATTTCATGTTGCGGACTTATAATTTAACTGTAGGTATCTTCTTCTGGACCAACATAAATGTAAACATAGATTGATATTGATAAAATGTTTACTGTAAATTTGTGACTTTGTCTAAAAAAAATTAGCCACCATAGCTCCCTCTAATTGTACCACTGTTCAAGACTAGACTATAAATATTGAAACTATCAGTTATATCATGAAATAAATAGGTAAATATAATGTAGGTATTAAGTGTCTAAGTACGACTGAGTATATATTTTAAACAGAGTAGGGTAGTGGTTTTTTATCGTTTAATTTTATAAGAAGACCCATATTTGACTATTTTGTATACTATATAATCTTTTACCTACTAAAGGTTTAAACTAAATTTAAATACTGCATGCACTGATGTACCTACCTACCTAGTAAAAATTAATTTTTCAAATAAATAAAAATGTCTCATTCTAGGTAACTTACTTAAGCCCGATAAGCTTTAAATGTTGACCTATGAGCCGAACGATCTCTTGGCTTGACCTGCCCTTGATGTTACAGCCATTACTTTGTTCCTGACCATCGCCGTTGCCAGTGGCCGAACCATTAACGGTCGAACTGGACGATGGCTGATCCACCGATCCATTGTGTTGCAAACACCCATTGGTTGGCTGCAACATGGTCTCTTCCGTATCCAAGTGCCTTTTCTTACGCGGTGGTGGAACAAGCCCACCGTCATCAGAATCGCCACTCGAGGCCAGTCTTGCTACGCGACGGCAAGATTTAAATGCTTTTCCCTCCTCTACAAAAATCTATTATTGGACTACTACACATCAAATCTAAAATAACGAATGCATCAATAAACATAATATTATATTATGTATTCCTGTTTCTTTTTTTATTCATTGCATTTTTACCCTCAACAGCTGTGCGAGATAAACATTAAACATACGCACACTGCACACCCATACGCGCGCGCGCAAACGTACAGTGTACACGCTACACACATACCCACCTTTGTTGTTTTGGATTTCTTCGTCCTTGAAAAATTGTTGTATCACTGGACACTGGGGTAACTAGTAACTACTAACTACTTTACAACTGTAACAAGTCCAAAATATAACATGGGTGAATAAAACTCAAAAGCCTCAAATTTTGTTGAACATTATGATAAAAATTAATTTAAAGTATTAATTAATATAGTTGGATCTAGCATCATAGCACTATATCAAAATTATTAATTATTATTATTAAATAATAATTTTCATTTTTCTTTTTGTTTATTTTTCTACTCAACAAAATTCAATATCAGAACAGGTATCAGATGACGGACAATAACAAGTCGTTGAGGAGAAATTAATAGTTTATCATGATATTTACTATTTTTTATCCGCTGATGAACAATTTACTTAACCTCAAAATGATTTGAGATTTTAATATTGCTACCATTACATCGTTATTGATAACACGTATAACCAGTACACCACGGTTTCTGTATTCTGTGGTACGGCTAAATATCTACATAGATAATAAAGATCTTTTTAAGGGCCGTATCTATAAGGCCGTGCTTGTCTTTGATTATTTTACATTATTATCATATTTTATCAAATGTAATTTAATATCAATACAAATATACAATAGGTACCCACCATTACACCTCTACATTTTATTTTTAGCCGATTATAAATTAAGTAATGAGTATTTGTGACTTGTGTATTTGTAAAATTGTGTTTGTGTAATGTGTATCATATTAAATACAAATTCATATCATCAAATCGTTATTCGTTAAATAAAATTTCAATTTTAATTATATCTCATTCGATAATTTTATACGATGTGTAATAATACCAAAGAAGAAGATATTGTTGAAAAATGGGGCTTACCATTGAAAGAATTGTATACATTGGCGCTTAAGTTTTTTAAGGGTACGTCAAGTTTTATGTAAAAATATTATTCATTCTATTAATTTGAAGAACAACTTTTTTGTGCTTAAATTTTTAATAACTTAGGTATCAAATAGAAATAGTCAGCCTAAATAATATGTTGTGTTTATTTTAGTTTAGTAGTACCTATGATTATAAATTAATTGTTAAGTACCAATCTATTTTCTAAAATATGAATATAATATTATCTTGTAAATTATATGGAATTATTGGAAAAGTATTTAGAATCTTATGCTCTTCCTACTCATTACTTTGCTTTGTTGTCTTCGTTCAAATGTATTTATTTTTTTATGAGGTAGGCTTGCTAATCTTTCTAATCAACTGACAATATTCATTATATTCCCAAAATGTTGCTGTCCAAGACAATAAATTATTAAATTTGGCTTTCTTGAATACACCTATTAATATATTTAATACCTTTATAAATAGTAACTTTCATAATATACTAAGTACAATTTGTACTTAAAAAAAACATGTTGAAGTACAGTTATTGTACTTGTTTAATATTGTATTTAACTGAAAACAAAAATAATTGTAAATTTTAAGTATTCAGTAAGTTGTGATTATTAATTACTTTATTATTGATTGTGTTGTAGAAAAAGAAGGTAAAGCCATACATTTTACTTATGATGATAAATTAAAACTTGTTGCATATACACGTCAAGTTAGCCATGGAAAGTTGGATGAATCGAAATTGCCACCTTTAGGTGTATTTGATGTTATTGGAAGAGATCGAAGGTAAATAAAATCTATAACAATACTTTAAGTATATGTATTCAAGAATATCAACATTTTATAGATTAGCATGGCAAGCACTTGGTGATATGTCAACAGAAAACTCTATGATAAATTTTGTGAAATTGGTGAATAAAGAATGTTCTTTATTCAAACATACTGTTGAAGCTTATAAAGCTGATTTGATTGAACAAAAACGCATAACGTAACTATTATTTAGTAATGATATTCATATTATATTTATATAGTCTAATTTTTATAATATTTCAGAGATGAAAATATGAAAAAAGAACAGGAAGAACTAGAAAAACAACTTGCACTAATGGAATTAAAACAAAAAGACGAAGAAGATAGATGTAGACAAGAAAATACCAAGTAATTAAAATAGTGATACTTTAGATAACATACATTTTTATTGCAGATTCTAATTTATTATCAATATTTTAGACAACTCATTCAAGAAGCTTTAAATAAACAGACATATAGCCAGTTTTTAACATATGCTCAAAATCAATTTCCAAACAACCCAGATGAAGTAATAATTTACTAACTAATTAATTTATGTGTACTTGTTAATATAGTACACTTAGTTGGTACTATTAGTGTATGCTACCTACAGTAACTTCAATGGTGTCGTATTCTACCTATCTTTAAATTGTTTCCTACTGCTAACTTTTCTATTACTTTACTAATGAAATGTGATTTTTCCTGAAACTTGGATTATTCAGATAAACAATATAAACAGCAGTAGGTGATATGGGGGTTCATTCCCACCACATCGTGGACTAAAAAAAAATTGGCATGCTCATCAATAAAATAAAATGTTGTTTTATAGTTAAAAAAAACTTAATTAATATAGTAATTTTAAGTACATAAAAACTGTTACATCAGAAAATCCTAGATTTTCCATTGATAAACAGAAATTAAAATTCAATGGGTACTAAAGTAATTGATCTATTATTTAGGAGATATGATAACTCATTGAGTCATAAATATCCACTAAGACACAATATAAAAAGTTACTTTTAGGTTCATTATTTTATTCTGTGTTATCATATAATTCCGAATGAAATTATAGTATTCATATTCAAGGTTCATTGTTTTTTGGTATGTTACAAAACTATTGATTGGGTTTTAGAACAATGATATGTAAAGTTGAAAAAGAGATCAGTAACATTAATTACCTATTATACAAAATTTAATTTAATGAGACAATATTTTATTTTGATAAATGGAGAGTATTTAGCATAATATTGTATAACCTTAAAAGATTTAAGTTATCTTCATGAAATTATCAACATTCCATATTTTTTTTTGATCCTAACAGTGGTTACACAAACAAATTTTAGAATTTATATGGGATACATTTTAATTTTTAGTATAGAATGAAAACTTGAGGAACTACAGATTTGTTTGATCTCCAACTATAAAAAGATGGTGGTGATTAGTTAATTCGCTATTGAAAGGAAATATAGGTAGCACACTAGTCGATACTAATGATAAGGCTAACGAGGAACATGGTTGCCCGGCGGCTGAGGCCTGTTCTGTATACAGTCTACTTACTACTTTCTACTGCAAGCAGTAGTAGATGCTCACTCTAAGTTAATTGTAATAGATGTGGGAGATTATGGTCGGTCTAGTAATAGTGGGATTTTCAAAGAATCCTTATTTGGTAAACAATTAATTCAAAATAAACTAGATTTCCCAGCACCCAAAAAAAATTAATCAAAATATTAATGTAGATTTCCCTTTTGTATTTGTTGGCGATGAGGCTTACCCACTTTTACCTAATTTGATGAGACATTTCCCTTGTAGAAATTTAACTAACGAAATATGTTTATAGTATTTACAATTATCGACAATCCCGTGCGAAAAGAATAGTCGAATGTGCATTTGGAATTATGGTAAAAAGGTTTAACGTATTAGAAAATAAAATGCTAATGAGACCTGAAAAAGCTACAAAAATAAATCAGGCGATTTGTGTACTTCATAATTTAATTGTGACTAGAGAAGCTAACTTCCTTTGCACAACTCTTAATAAAAGTTTTAAAAATAAAAAAATACGGTGTATAGAAAATTGAAATATAAACATTCAGTTAAATTTTCATGTATATACAGTAATTCTTTTTTTTTTTTTTTTAATTACAACAAAATAAATGTAATTAATAGTATTAATTTCCTACCTATTTTAACACTGGAATAGAACAAGCCTTATGGGTATTATTAATTTGGACTACTATTAAGGTAATAATTATGATCATACATCATACAACTAATAATATAATATTCATACAATATTACAATAAATAAATTATTTATTAATTCGTATTTCGTGTGTGGTACTGTAGACCTGAGTACCTGACCTATAGACAGTAGTACTGTACTAGTACTATAAACATATTCCCCGTTATAATAGTTCCGAAGACTTCCACAAGGTTGCGCCTGTTCCGCTTTCAATCGCTATTCAACAATTTATTAGGTTTATCATTGTCCTCGAAGAACATTTTAAAACACTTGACAATGATGATGATCATCAGAAAAAAATAAAGTAGTATAACACGTGACATTTAACAGTTTTTGTAGGTAGCATACAATAGAAGTACCACATATTTAACTATAGTAGTTATTAAAAATATATAATGATAAGTCAATCCAAACATAATGTTATTTATAGCAAGCTGTACTTGTAAGACAATTACAAGAACAACATTATCATCAGTATATGCAACAGTTACAACAAAACTATGAACCCGGCAAAGAATTGGAAATAACAACTAACTCTGTAACTGTTCCTGAAGATAAAATTATTGAACATGAGAGCATCTGCAATGAACAATGTGAAAATGGGCAATGTCTTTCTGGAGAATGTACATTTTGAATTAATTTCTTACATATTTCGTTCAATAATTTTCTTTTTAATTATAGGCTCTGTTCAAACATTGTTTCCTGCTTCAATGTGGACAAGAAAAGATATTGATGAATTTAAAGCTAATTTACTACGAGAAGGTGGAGAAGCCGTTATCAAAGTAAATCATGGAGAAACGGTTACGGTACATATTTTAATTACTATATAGATACATTTTACTGTAGAAAATTATTCATTGTTTTTCAAAACTGATTGTACTGTTTATTTTTAATTTTATAGGTTCGAGTTCCAACAGCTGAAGGCGGCAACTGTGTATTTTGGGAGTTTGCAACTGATGGTCACGACATAGGTTTTGGTGTTTACTTTGAATGGGTTAAACCTAGTACTAGTCAAGTTTCAGTGCATGTATCTGAGAGTGAAGATGATGATTGTGACGACTTGGAAGACGATGATGATGGTAATATCAATCAAGGTATAAATATGTAAATTGAAAACGTGAATAAATTATTGAAAATGTAATCATACGACTTAGAATAAAATTAATATGTCATACAAATATAAGTAAATTATATATAAATATAAATTATACATGTAAAATAATAATTTGTATTAGATCTACTTCATGAATTGGAACAAAATGGTGTTACAATTAAAGATATCAAAAAGAGTAATCAGTTGAATCGACCACCATTGTCAATAATAATACCAGTATACCGAAGAGATTGTCACAAAGAAGTATATGCTGGAAGTCATTTATACCCTGGGGAAGGAGTTTATTTACTTAAATTTGATAACTCCTATAGTTTATGGAGGTCAAAAACATTGTATTATAGAATATATTACTCACAATAATAAATACATTTTGTTCTGTATGAAATTCCCACCAATCTGCAATCTGTTAGTCAGTTTAAAATGTAATAATATATATATTCAGCTTACTTTTATCCAAATTATAGTTGAAATAACTTAAAGAACAATATATTACATATTAAAATATGTTTAAAATTAAAATTTTAACTATTACATTTTTTTTTTGAATCAATATTCATACAATATGCATGTACATAATATTATATAGTATTGATTCTCCTACATAACTATCACAATAAATTTAAAAAAAAATCATTGTTTTGCGTCTCTATCTAACATATTATATCATAACCTATAGGTATAAATAAAAAGTTAAAGATTTCCATTTTTAGTGCACAATAAAAATTAGTGCAACTTAAAGAACATTTCATATGAAATACCATACATTTTATATTTGAAGGAGCAGAAATATCCTTTTTATTTATTATTATTATATACAACTACTGACTAGTAAGCCAGAAGTTAACTATTGTACATTTTTTAATTATAATAAATTAATTTTGAGTAGCAATTCCATTTTTTTGTTTTGCATTGTTATTTAATTTAATATTTACTAGGTATAACTTATATATATATTATTTCTTTTTAAAGTTTTTGAAAGATATGAAATGTTTTAAAACAAATAAACTGCTTGTTAAGTATATTTATTTATTTATTATGAATAATAACCGTATTTTAAACTTATAATATTTATACTCTATGCTATAACCAAAAATACAAATATTTATTCATTATAATTAGGGATATTACCTAATTTGTAGTTAAAAAAAATAATTAAGATTTATAACATAACAGTTATTATTGTATATTTTTTATTTATTTTGATTTTCAAGTATCTTATTCAATTTGTACTTTTCAACTTTTTCTTAACATGTATAAATCAAGATCAAAATTTAATTGATAGTACTTTTGTACTATAATTCCATTAATAGCATTAAAATTTTAAAAAAGACTACTTAAAACTGAATATAATTGTAAAATGTTTTAGTTGTGTAATATAATTAGGTATTTATTGAAATTAAAACCAGTCAGAATATTTGTATAAGGATTAATTTTAAATGTAAATAAATGTTTATGTACCAACTGTACCGTATATTATATTAATTATTAGATATTATGTATTATTGATTGAAATTAACATATTATTATAAATGCTATTAAGCTTCCCATTTTTTTGAATATATTATGTATATATATGTATATACTTAATTCATTTTTCCTAACTCTTGTACAGGGTTATACTATACAGCATAGATAAGTAATGCAAATCACGGCTTTCTCCGGACCTCGAATACACAGAAAAAGTATAATATAATTATGCTATAGAGTGTAGATCATACTGCAGTGGTGGTCACAACGAGGCTCTTAAATTAGTTTCGTGTGGCTCTTGAACCAAGCTTAGACTAAAATTAATAAATATAATTCCGTATTTCCTTTAGAATCATGAGATAATGTTTTTATTGCCGTCGATTTTGTTATCATTACAGTCGTTATTATAGATTGGAACGGCGGCGTTAACATTGATTTTTATTATGTGTATAGCCCAAATTGAGGGCCCATGTCTTAGAACAAAAATACCCAATAACAAAAAAGTGCGCTAAGAGACTTATTTCAATCTTTGAGACTACTTATATATGAAAAGCAATGCTTAAATAGTTAAATTCATTAAATCTAAATAATAGTAGTGTAGTGTAGTGTAAAAAATAAATTGATGTAAAATTTAAAGACTTAATTTTTACTATTTACAATCTCGAATTAGCTTTATAATTTTGCGGCTCCAAAAATTAAGGCTAGTGGTTACCCCTGGTATACTGTAATATTATAAAAAAAAAAATTCAGTCCCTCTTGATAATTTTAGATTCCGAGTGAAACGATGAATGTATTGATTTTAAAATGATGAGTGTATTTTTATTTGTGTCCCATCACCTTTTAGGACAGTAAAAGTGCTTGGATTTTCTTCAACAGTAAGAAAAGCGAATCTAGTTGGTACTTTGGTGTTTGGAGGGGTCAAAAGTGAAAATATTTTCCAGTAGTTTTCAAAAGTGATGTGAAAAACAAAAGAAAAATTAAGGAAAAACGGGAATTATTAAGCAAAATCGGTTTTCGAAAAAAAACATTTTCAGATTTTCCATTTTTTTTTAGTTTTTTTTTCCTATAAATATCAATAAAATTTTATTTGTTGGTTAAAAAAGCTTGAAAATTTAGTAGAAGGCTCCTAGTTTATTGTTTCAAAGGCAGATGAAAAAAATTAAAAACCCATGGTCACAATTTTTTTTTTGAAGCAATTAAAGTTCAAATATTGACAAAATACGTACAAATGACGGAATTTCGCAAATTATTTTGATTTAGAAATTCATAAAAATTTTTCTTTTGAAATCTTAGATTTAAAAATGTAATACAAGATTATTCATAAGTTTGTCTATCTTTATCAAAAAAAAAAAAAAAATGTCTTCAAGCAAATCAAATTAAATTTCTATGAGCGTTTGAATTTTATATTTTTACAATATTGGATATTCACTCAATTTCTCATAAAGCGATTTTGTTGTTTTGTTGTTATTCAAAAACGAATAACTGTAAATACATGAAAATTATACTGAATGTTTATATTTTCTATACACCATAAAATTTTGAAAATATTTTGTCTCTTTTTGAGCTGTTTACGGACATAGTCAGTTATCAATTTTTTTAGTTTTTTTTTCTATAAATATCAATAAAAATTTATTTGTTGGGTAAAAAAGCGTAAAAAATTTAATGCTAGGCTCCTGATATACTGTTACAATAGCAGTTGAAAAATATTAAAAATACATAGGCATAATTTTTTTTTAGAATCATTCAAAGTTCAAATTTTAACAAAATTTACCACATTTAAAATTTAATAATTATTTTGTAGTTAAAAATGTATATGATGCAGTACAATAATTTTTTTCCTAGTCATATACTTACATATAGTAACTAAAAATATTACTTATTACTAGATACTATAGAGTCGTAACTGTCCACAATATACTATAGGTTAATAGGTATATATATAGCCTATTAGGTAATAGGCGAGGTAATAGGTTTCATCCAAACCTTTTTATGAAACATAATATTTAAAGATATATAATTTTATGAAAACAGCACACCTTAAAACGTACAATAATTTATTAATGATTTCAAATACATTTCAATCAAATCATTTTATTTGTATTATTATGTTTATCATAAATTAAAAATAAGATGTTACACAATCAACTGTGATTTACCAAAAATTATGAGGTATTATACCTTTAGGTTTTTCAATATAACCTACTTGAATAACTTTGTTGATAAATGTTTTTAATCTTTGTACTGGACCTCCACAACCAACAGGTGTAACTTCATCAATCTTTTTAATATAGTTGGTATTTATGTATTCTAACATTTTGATAAATTGTCTTCCATAAGTTTGTTTAAGACTATAACCAGTAATTATCAGTATTTCATGTAACAAAATGGCTGTAACATCTAATTGGGGAACTAAATGTACAGTTGCTGCAATCAGCATCCAGGCTTGTCCAATACCTAACGCTTTACCACTCTTAGATTCAGTTACTATGATTGCTGCAAATAATCTTACAATACCAGTCATTCTTTTTACATACTTATCTTGTTTTTCTACAGCTCCATTTGTATAATTATAACATAATGATTTATAATATTCTTCATCAGTTTCTTCATTTGTTTTTTCAGCATTGTATGGTATAAGACATGGACATTTTTGTTTAAATCTAGCATATAACAAAATACCAAAATCTGGATGAATTTTCCAAAGTTCTGTAACAATTGATGCCACTTCAAAAGCAGTTTCGGTTTTAACACTAGCCACTTGCTCTCCAATATTTATAATTTTTTTAGCCAATGTATCCTTACAAAATATTAATGCATCTGGATGACTATTTGCTGTTACGGTAGAATTACCAGTTTTCACAGTCTTACATTTCAGTAATGCATCAAGTTTCTCAAATTTGTCTTTCATATGCCATGACGAGACAGAAGATATACTATTAACTGGTGTATTAATTGCTTTGACTAATTCTTGTCTCAATGGTTTTAGGTTATCGTTACAAAGAAAAGAAGAATAATCATCTTTAATTTTTTTTAAATATTTCTGCACAGTTACATGATTTTCTAAAAATTGTTTGTATTCATCTTCAAAATTATAAATACAATTATTCTTAATATCTTCGTGTTTTGAATCTTTATTAATTTTAAAAGAAAAATTTGATATATCACTATTGTTAACTTTTTTATCTGTGTTAAACTTAAATGTGAAGAATTCTTCAGACTTAACAACAGGCTTTTCATTTTTTATAAAAGTAAAATTGTTTATTTCATTTTTGGTTTCTTCGCATTTATTTTTTGTTTCAAGAACATTATGTTTTATTATCTGATTTTGATAATTATTTTCACTGCTTTTAAGTATATTTTCATTTGGTATATCACTCTCTTCATTTTTATGACCATCAATTTTAAACGAAACATGTTTATCTTGTAATTTCAGTAACTGTTCATAAAATATTTGAATATTTTGTTGATGATGATTAATAATCAAGATATCTTGTTCATTAGTATTTGAAGATTTATTTTTTAGTTCATTTAAAGCCGTTTCAAGAAAAATATAATTGTGTTTGTGACTACTAAGTAATTGTGGTGTCGTAACAAGACTTTCATTTAACAATTTTTTTATGTCGCTTAATAAACTTAATGACCTATTTAGAGCCGAGACAAATTTCATACTTAATTTTTTTTTATCGAATGTATTTTGTTCTTCTCGTAATCTAGTTTGAAATTGATCATTATTGTTATCAAGTTGTTTAATATTATAACTTCTATCAATAATAAGTCTCTTCCGAACGGAATCCTTTGAGTCTTCATCAACATTTGTAAGTATTTTAGAACATTCTTTTTTCGTCTGTTCCCAAGTATCAACTTTTTTGTTCAATGAATCCCGTACAGACATTTTCCTACTTACTTCAATTTCATTCATTTTAATTTTGTGTAATTCATCATAGAAATGTAAAGTTTCATCAATTTTTTCATCAATTGGTTCATTAAATGTTTCGCTTCTTGTGACCTGAGAATGATTTTCAACTGAATGTGAATGATCATTTTGAGAGGAGTAATATTCATTGACTTCTACTAGATTTTTATTAATTCTTTTCAAGTTTTTATCAAAAAGAGAAAAATTGTTTTCTTTTACTTGATTTTGAGTTGAAAAATTCTCTTGATGCATATTTGAAAATGTTGTATTACACTGCATTACAACTTTTAAATATTACCACAATTATCCTAAAACAAAAAAAAAATAAAAGGTAATTAATACACTTAGGCACTTTAGGTACAATATGTACTGTATACCTTTAAATGTATTACCTAAGTAATAAGAATGATTTAACTTACTTGTTAGTTGTTGTACAAGCTGTGAAGCTGTTAGCTTTCGAGGTTTCAAGTGTTTAAATTTCAACGTTTTGTGCTTTGAAACTTATCAGTCTTGATCACGATTCACGAATCACGATTAAAGATAAAATAACATTGTATATATCTGTGATATTATCTAGTATTCTGTGATACTATCTTTAATCGTGATCCTGATAAGGAATGTAACCGCAATAACTCCTTATACTATAGTTGCCTATGCATATCTTAAAAGGAGTTATTTAATTAGTATTAGGTATCTTTTCATTGTACTTAATTTACTAAACCAAGTAACTAGGTAAATTGTATTTATAGTACATGAAATAATGAACAAATATTTTATGAGTTTTGATATAGTATTTAACACTTCTAACATATAATTTTTTTTTTTTTATTATCAACATCCCCCCCCCCCACTCAATCTATGTAGATTTTTTTCAAGAACATATTTTTGACTTGGGGGTCTCAAAAAAAATTGTGCACTTGGTCCTAATTTCATTAAATCAGGCTCTGTGTGTAACAAAGATCAATCGTGTTTATGGATTACCCATACACATAGACAATTTGCATGACTGGTGCTTACTCATTTTTTTTTATTTATAAGGCTTGTTGGTAAAATCATGTAAAATTATTATTACAGTTCTTGCATACATTTATTAGGTATTAAGATTACTATAGTAAAACACTCCTTGTAAAAATGTCGAATTTGAAGGGATTGGGACAAGGAACTTTCATTTAGGTTGTCTTGATGTTTTAAAACAAAAAAAACTTTTATCGGTATTAATTTAGTGTTTTTTTTTATATAAGAACTATATGTATTATAAGTCGAAACATTTTTTATACATTTATTTTCCATATTAAAGATTAAAATAATAATCAAGTAGATAATAGTTTTATAAAAAGTCAAAAAAATTAAGTTTTCAACAAAATATAATTGTGTAGGTGTTAAGAAAAATAAAAAAATGTACTTTTCTATAATATTGATAAAATTATACTACCTACCTATTATTTCAATTATCAATTACATAGTGTGAGATAATACAATTCTCATGTATTACACTATTCCTAACCTTTATTACTTACTTCTCCAATGGTGTTCCTCAACTAAGTTTTGATTCTCTTAAGATTTGAAAAAGTACGTTCATTAGATTGAAACTGGTAATGTGGCTAGTATTTGAAGAAGTTTGTATATATTAGGCTAAATTTCATTATTACAAAACGATAAAGCTTGAAGTGCATTAGTTGGCTCTTCGCTCAAATTTTTTAAGCACCTTTGCCACAAATTGTATTCAGCCATCAAAATTGCATGGTTTCCATTTTCCAGATCATCTCGGTAATAATTAACCAATGTCACAAAGTCGTCATCTAATTTTTCTTTCGAAAATAATGAATGAAAAGAGTTTAATGTAGTATCATGGTCAATAAATCTTTCTTTTAGTTCATTAGCAAATGACTCCAGATATGGTATAAATACAGATACACGATAATATTCCTCTGCCGACGTTGTATTTATATTAACTCTTAAGGTATGTCTATTTGATGTTCTTGGAATCTTTATGACTACTTCAAAATTATCAGCAATCTTAGAGGCTTCTTTAAAAATTAACGCTTATACTGCTTGTCTGCTTATATGCACGACACGCCACTGTTATAAAGGTTAGGTTAGGTTAGGTTAGGTTATACGCACAAGCTTTGACAATATACATAATGTTATACTACTGTCTATTGCTACTTGCTAGCATAAGTTAAATGAAAGAAAATCATATTATAACTTATTAATTATAATTATTGACATAAATTTAATATTCAAATTTCAAAAACATGTTGAAATTTTAAAATAATTAATATTAAGAAAAATTAAAAATTACATTCACGATACAAAATCATTTGCTTAGATTACATTTTAAATTAACTACATATTATTATGAATCAAATAATATGGATAAAATTTTTGTAAATTAAGAATGAAAACAATTTAAAATAATTATTATAAATTTTACTAACCTGAATAGACGTTCTGGTTCAACGGCGCGTCGGCTGAAAAGTGATTGTCAGTGTATCAACTATAACTGCATATAAAAATAGCTATAAAAAAAAAATTACTGTCAAAACCCAAACGGCCCGAGCGAATAATGTATCACAACCTAAACTCAGGATCTGGGGTTGAGTCCAAACCCCCTGGACCCCCCCCCCGTAAAATCGCCACTGATTTTTCATATGGCTGCATCCGAATTGGTTCCCATACCTGAAAATTGACATCCGAATTGGTTCCCGACAATCCAGGCAACACACATCCGAATAGGTTCCCGGTATTATAGGTAGGCGGTAGTGCGGTACACATCGGAATTGGTTCCCGATAAACACTTTCGAATAAGGCGAGATACAATCTAATAATATTATTATAACGGTAATCGGTCAAAATATCCAAGGACAAAATATCCACGGACAAAATATCCAAACCAAAATATCCAAGGACAAAATATCCAACGGTCAAAATATCCAAATGTATCCGTTTTTACGTAGATTAGTAAATTACACATTATAAAAATAAAAATATAAATATAAATATATTATATAATATATAAATTACGTTAGTAGTTATAATATCACAAAATATACTGCACACACATTAGTCAAATAGTCAAATAATATAAAATAAAATGTAAAACAATTTGTTTTTATGAATACAGTATACACATAATAAAATATTAAATAATTTGCTAAAAAAATGACTACCTACACTATTTTCTAAAAATTTAGAAAAAAAAACTCATACATCATTGTAAAATCAATACATTCATCGCTCCGCCCAGAATTTAAAATTTTCTAAAAAAATTAGCTCGTAAAATTAGTTAAACCTATATACCTACACTGCATCACTAATAGTAAAATGTAAAAACGTAAAAATGTAAAATGTAAAATAATTTGTTTTTATGAACACACAATAAAATAAAATAAAATAGTAAATAATTTGTTAAAAAATATAACTACCTACAATTTAATACAATTTAATTTCTAATAAAATTAGCAATATTTATATGTAACGACTGACGACAACTGTAATTTGTCGGAGTTTGAAAACCAGACACTAAATATAGGTAGTAATGTAGTATACTAGTATAGGTAAAGCCACAGCTTATGTCCGTATGGCCGTATAGATACGATATAACAAAATCTAATAAATAATAATCCGATAAAATCATTATAGTCACTCACACTTGTCTTGTCGATAATTTAAACGATAAGATAGGTACCTACATAATATTATACAATGGCATCTCGTGAAATTTCCAGGTTGAATTATATTATTACATTTTACCTTTATCGTAGGACGTAGGCGCGTCGGATCCATAATTTTAGTAATATTAGTAATTAGTAATTTGAGATATTAGAGCTAATTTCATTAGTAAGTAAAGTGTAATCTACTAATTTACGTAAAAACGGATACATTTGGATATTTTGTCCTTGGATATTTTGTCCTAGATTCTATTATAACATATTTCCCATATTTATAAGTAACCGTGATAAAACCGGTGGTATATTATCGATATCGTGTGATAGCAATTTGGAAGTTTTAAGTCAAATGAAATCTATGTTTATTGACGGTACTTTTAAAAGTTGTCCAAAGAATTTTTTCCAACTTTTATCAATTCACGGTGTAAAAAATAACTACTATGTCCCTCTAGTTTTTTTTTTACTTCCAAATAAAACAAGTGATATGTATACAAAAGCTTTTCGTTTAATTCAAAATTATTTAAACCCGGATAAAATATATGCTGACTTTGAAAGAGCTATTCATGTAGCGATCTCCGAAGTATGGCCTTCGGCTCAATTAAAAGGTTGTCGGTTTCACTTGGGTCTTGGGCCAATCATGGTGGAGGAAGATACAACAATTAGGGCTTTCAAAGGAATTTAAAAACAACGATTCCGAAATAGGCCAAACATTAAAAATGTTTTTTGGTTTATCCTTATTATCGCAAGAAGAAGTTAACGATTGCTATACTAATGATTTGATGTCATTAAAACCGATTAATGGAAAACTTGAAGAATTATTTGATTACATACTTGAACATTATATTGAAAAATATCTATTATTTATAAAATAACTATAACAATCATAAAGAATACATTTAAAGTAGCCAGAAAGGAAATAGGTTAATCAGTTTTAGCAGCTTTGTTTATACATTTACTTTATTAATTTATTATTAACACAATGTTTATGATATAGTTAATTCTGATTTCTGAGACCCACACTAATATACTCTTATAAATTACTCTTACTGATTAATAATGAACCAAAGTAAGAACGTGACTGGGATAATGTGATGCAGTGGCGTAATTAGGAATTTGGTTTGGGGGGGAGGGATATACTTTTTTAGCAAACCTGAATGGTCATTAATCATTATCAATAGTTTGATCAAAATGTTAGCAGTAAAAAAAAAGTTTTAGGGGGATCGATTCTATGTGAAAAAGCAAAGACATAAAATGTCAAAAAGCTGTAAGTAATAAGTATTCTAATAAAATATATGAGGTCTATAAATTAAAATTATAATGTATATAAAATATAAAAATTAATAATATTATATTGTTTTAAATACTTCTCGCAAACCTAAGGTATATAGTATATAGTATATAGTATATACTATATGCAAATATAGGTGCGTATTAAACTTGGCGTGGTGAAACAAAGACGACTTTTGGACTGTTCGGTCTCGCGTATTTTATACATTGCGCTTTTGGGATCAAACGTATAAATGCTTCTACGTCACTCATTTTTGAAGTGTTTTACTTTTTTGAATGAAAACATAGAGTTTTAATTTCATATTCCAAGGCAGAATATTTTTC